CGGGATTCATCGCCGAGGCGGTCCTCCAACGGTTAGAATCGCTGGTCTTCCAACACCACAGACCGAAATTCTGGGCCCGGTATGTGGATGACACCTTCGTCGTCATCGAACGGGATCAGGTGTTGACATTCCAAGAACATCTCAACGCCGTCTTCCCGGACATTCAATTTACGATGGAGGAGAAAGAGAACAACCAGCTGGCCTTCCTGGATGTCCTCGTATGTCGCAATGATTGTGGTGGACTAAAGACCAAAGTGTTCAGGAAAGCGACAAATACGATGCAAGTACTGAACTTCAACAGTAACCACCCAATCAGCCACAAAAGCAGTTGTGTGGGGACGCTCTATCGGCGTGTCGAAGCGCACTGCAGTGAGCCGGAAGACAAAAGTGCTGAACTACAATACCTCCGACGGGTATTCAAAGCCAATGGCTACCCGAGCAACTTTGTCAACCGGTGCATACGCAAAATGGACGAAAGGCCTAACCGCAGGGACACCAAAGTTTGGCGAGCGCTTCCATATGTCAAGAACGTTTCGGAAGCTGTTGGCCGCCTTCTCGCACTACTTGGGGTTGGAGTGGCACACAGACCGGAGGCAACCATCAGGCGTCTGATCATGAAACCGAAAGACCCACTGCCACGGATAGAAACGTCTGGAGTCGTTTATTGGATCTGGTGCAGTTGCGGACAAAGCAACTACGTCGGAGAAACCGGAAGACAGCTCCGAACGAGAATGGCCGAACACGCGGCAGCGGTGCGCAGAAATGACGCCAGCTCTCAAGTTGCGGCTCATTCGACGAGATCCGGCCGCATGTTCAAATTCGATAAGGCCGAAATTCTTGCGAGAGGGAATAATCGCGTGAGTCGGGAGCTACTGGAATCATGGTTTACTGGCCTCCAGTTCATTAACAAGTGCGACAATCTTCCCACTCCATACTGCGTGCTAAAACTTCGCCTAGGCGGAGTAACAAGTCATGCGGGGAGCGCAGAGGTGAACACTTTTCCCAACACCGGGGTCGGTGCGTCAGATGGTCGAGCAATCATCACGCCAACATCCAACGCACGTGATGAAATTGCAGCAATTATCGACTCGAATGTCGGCCATCAAGCAATGATTACACCAAGTGTGACAATCCCGGATGAAGGGGGGGGGGGGCCGTGAACGTTCATAGGTATGCGGTAGCATGGCTACTGCGTCCTATAAATACCGCAGCCCCTTGTGCAAGAACCACCCGTTTCTGCTCTTTTGTCTCTGATGATGGATTCGAGTAGGAATCCGAAAAGTCAGGCTAATAAAGCTCTTGTCCCGGCGATCGTGTCTCCTTCTTCATGATCCTTGTCTTTCAGACCGCATGATCTAGTATTCATCTCAGTGTTTTATGCAGTGCATCAACTGCTATAGAAGTACATGGTAGACGTTCCAATCTACAGACTGGATTCATCATAGGACACAGCGCAGGCGACCACTACTGTGTCCCCAGCGCCTAATATGGGGTGGGGATGTCATTGCGATTGTTGGTAAACTGCCACCTGTCCCCTCCCCCGCCTTCGGGATTCTTTTCTCTGCCTTGACACTGGCTATAGGTGAGGCGTTAGAGGAGAGAGTGCGGTAGATGCTGTACAAGCGCTCCGGCTATAAATTAGCTCACTCACTAGTAACCGTGCCTACTGTCACCTCCTCGTAATGCACTCGGTGAACATTGCTGGTAACGTCGGTCAAACTGGGATCCTGTGAATCCTGACCCAAGCACAAACCCGAATATGGCTCTTCTTCCAACGATCGCTTTTACTTCCTGTCATCTAGTTCCTGGAAGTCGCACCTTCTCTTGCATCGATCAGATACTTGTCAGGCCTGTTACACCTCAGGTTATAGCAGGTTAGTGCAGCTCGACTTACAGCGTTTGGGAATTAGTCCTGCTTGCCACCACGTGTCTATGAGCCGAATGATGCCCAAAGGCTACCCAACATAGCAACACCGCGTAGTGTGTGATTTCATATTAGAAGAAGAAAATTGGCTCTCCGGAACAGGTTTATTTAACTGCTGACGTTTCAAAGAGCTGGGTCGGCTCTTCATTGTCAAAGCGTAAACTGCACCTAATCGATCAGAAATTTAATTTAAAGTGGCAAGCTGTGTTGGCTGACCTCATGCTGATCGATTTTTTCTCTCCTCCCGCTGCGTCGGCCTCTCAGGAAATGGTTGACGGGCGTTTTTGCCTGTGTGCTTTATGAGTCACCACTCCGTCGAGGGGAGCTGATTGGACTTTAGTCGGGCGGTCGGACTGGCGGTTCTTGTTCTTCCTCACCCTGTAAGCTCAGCGTCGGGCTATCCCCGTGCTGTCTTCGTAAGTCCGGTGTGGTTGTTTGGTCCTGAGCTCTACGGTTGTGATGACGTAGGACTTTGTAAGCAGCAGGAAGGTCCAGATGCCTGTTAATAGAGTGGGCATCGGAGAACCACGCCGCGAGAGTTAGCAGTTCTGTTTTTGTGTTGCCTCGGCCTAAGATGCTAGCCCTCTGGAGGTCAAAAGTATGCCCCGTTTCCCCAACAACAATTGCATCTGCGTATCAATTACTCGAACGCATAAAACATCTGAGGTTAGAGCCAGACGAATCCATGGTATCCTTTGATGTCGTTTCGCTCTTCACCTCCATCCCACAGCAACTAGCGATAGATGTTGTGGACCAACTACTGGCAGAGCGTTATGAGGATAGAGATGGACCTCTGAAGTCTGAGCATCTGCTCGAGCTTCTGCGATACTGTCTCAGGACCTATTTCACTTTCGACGGAAAAATGTACGAACAAATAAAGGGCACTCCTATGGGCTCCCCTATATCAGGCCTAATTGCTGAAGTGGTCCTTCAACGGGTAGAACACTTGGTGTTTACCAAATATCAACCAAAGTTCTGGGCCCGCTATTTCGATGACACCTTCGTCGTTGTCAAAACTACTAACATTGAACACCTAAAGGGACTACTGTACTCGGTTGACCCGGATATACAATTTACGATGGAAGCGGAAACAAACAACCAACTGCCCTTCCTTGATGTACTTGTGCGTCGGTGTACCACTGGACAGCTGCAAACTACAGTATTCCGAAAATCCACCGACACGAGACAGATCCTACACTTCAACAGCAACCATCTTCTGTCTCACAGACGTAGTTGTGTCCGCACTCTATTCCAAAGAGTCGAAACACACTGCAGCACACCAGAAGATAAAATGGCCGAACGATTGTACCTTGTGGACCTATTTGCAGCCAATGGTTATCCCAGGCATTTCATCGAGAGAAGCAGACGTTGGGCGCCCAGACAACGGCCAAATGAGCAGAACCCGAAGTCTGGAGGGCCATTCCTTACGTTAAAGGGGTCTCTGAAGCGGTCTCGCGACTGTTATAACCTACCAGAATAGGCATAGCCCATCGACCACAAGCAACAATTCGACGTCGCCTGATGCAACCTAAAGACCCATTGCCACCCGCTGAAACCTCAGCAGTCATCTACAAAATAAATTGCAATGAGGGCGACTGCAACTATGTGGGCGAAACTGGGCGGAAATTGCAAACTCGCCTACAAGAACATAAATCGGCCACTCGGAGGTTAGACCCTAACTTTCAACTAGCAACACACGTTGGGGAAACGGGGCATACTTTTGACCTCCAGAGGGCTAGCATCTTAGGCCGAGGCAACACAAAAACAGAACTGCTAACTCTCGCGGCGTGGTTCTCCGATGCCCACTCTATTAACAGGCATCTGGCCTTCCTGCTGCTTACAAAGTCCTACGTCATCACAACCGTAGAGCTCAGGACCAAACAACCACACCGGACTTACGAAGACAGCACGGAGATAGCCCGACGCTGAGCTTACAGGGTGAGGAAGAACAAGAACCGCCAGTCCGACCGCCCGACTAAAGTCCAATCAGCTCCCCTCGACGGAGTGGTGACTCATAAAGCACACAGGCAAAAACGCCCGTCAACCATTTCCTGAGAGGCCGACGCAGCGGGAGGAGAGAAAAAATCGATCAGCATGAGGTCAGCCAACACAGCTTGCCACTTTAAATTAAATTTCTGATCGATTAGGTGCAGTTTACGCTTTGACAATGAAGAGCCGACCCAGCTCTTTGAAACGTCAGCAGTTAAATAAACCTGTTCCGGAGAGCCAATTTTCTTCTTCTAATAATCTTCCCGGATCTCTAAACTTTTCCAATCTGATTTCATATTATGACGGTTTGTCAACTGCTTACATTTTGAGTGTAGATTCCAAAACAGTATTCCAATGATTCTTTTTAATTTCATTTCTTTGAAGTAAATAAGATGGGATTCAACAAGAGAAGCTGGATTTTGCTTGATTTCACCGATGGGAACGCGGTAGGATCAAAAGTTTTAATAAGCCGACATCGTATGAGACCGGTCGGTGCCTAACAAATTTAAATAGAACTGACAGGCGTGATCGTGAACACACCATTTTGTATTTATTGAGAGAAATTTTCCTCTGTTAAATTAATTTACACTTCTCGCTCGTTTTGGATTACGTTGACTTTCAGACCGGCTGTACCACTGAAGGTACTTCACAAACTACACGCTGCCATCTTCAGAGAAAAACGAAACCCGTTCAGTTTTGCAGGGCAATGTGAGTTAAGAAGACCTTCGAGGGATTGCTTATAGAAGCGAACAGGCGAGTTCCAGGTGGCAGTTCAGAAGATGAAGATGAGATCACTGAAACAAGACATTTATTTGCCTGACGTTTCGGATTCTCACTCGCATCCATCATCAGAGACATTCGCAGATAAAGGTGATTGTGGCACCAGGAGTGCAGTATTTATAGCACGTGGCTGTCGTGGGACCGTATGCGCACTGCAATTAACATTTCTCGCAATCACCGCTGGGGTAGTAATTAATGCTCTGGTTGCGTGTCAGTCCGACTTGGCGCCTAATGGTTGCTTCCGGCCTGTGTGCAACTCCAACTCCAAGTGGAGTAAGAAGACGACTGACGGCTTCCGAGACGTTCTTCACGTAAGGAAGAATCTGCCAAATTTGGGGCTAGTTGGATTTGGTCTCTGGTGTTCTTTTCGTATGCACTGGTTGACAAAGTTGCGCGGGTAACCATTGGCTCTCATAACCCGTTGAAGATATTGTAATTCAGCAATCTTTTCTTCCATTTCACTGCAGTGCGTCTCAACGCGCCAGTATAGCGCCCTTACGCAACTGCGTTTGTGACTGATCGGGTGGTTGCTAATGAAGTTCAGTATTTGCGTCGTATTGGTCGCTTTCCTGAACACTTTGGTTTTTAGTTCACCACAATCTTTGCGGCAGACGAGGACATTTAGGAAGGCCAGCTGATTGTTTTCCTCCTCCTCCATCGTAAATTGAATGCCCGGAAAGACGGCGTTGAGATGCTCTTTGAACGTAGGCACCTGATCCCGTTCGATGACGACGAAGGTGTCATCCACATACCGAGCCAAAAATTTCGGTCTGTGATGTCGGAAAACCAGCGACTCCAGTCGTTGTGGGACCACCTCGGCTATGAGTCCCAAAATCGACGAACCCATTGGCGTTCCCTTCACCTGCTCGTAGATTGTTCCGTCGAATGTAAAGTACGTCTTGAGACAGAACCTCAGGACCTGGATGATTTGGGCGTGTCCAAGGCGATTCTCCGTTTCGTCGTATTTCTCTCGTAGGAGTAGTTCGATTGTCTCGACTGCCAGGTCCTGCGGGATAGAAGTAAAAAGGGACGTCATATCAAAGGAAACCATGATATCGCTTGACAGGAGACTTACTCCTTTAAGTTTCTCCAAGAATTGCGTTGACGAGCTGAATGTGGTGCTCGAATCGGAGGTCAGAAAATTGAGACGTTGGAACAGCCACTTTGCCAGTCCGTAGGTTGGAGTGCCCTTTAGTGATACGATAGGCCGGAGAGGAGCGCCCTCTTTGTGCACTTTTGTGAGACCGTAGAATCGGGCTAGGGTCGTTTCTTGTGCTCTCGCCATGCGTCGGTCGATTGGCGATATTGCACCTGAGTTCTCCATTGCCAACAGCGTCGCGTTAATCTCGCGTGCCAGCGTTTTCATGGGGTTGGATTTTCATGGGACGTAGGATTGACGATCCTCCAACAAGCTTTTGGCTTTTTCATTGATATTTTGGCAGATTTTGAATAATTCATATTGACCCAACTGTGAAAAACTCGGCGCCTCGGTGGGATTCGAACCCACGCAGTAAGGGGGCAGGCTTTAGTACAGCCAGCGCTCTAACCACCTGAGCTACGAGGCCCCGCCGGACGACGCGAGTTTTATCACACTTGGGTCAAGTTACCCGCCCAACCTACTGCAACGTCTGGAATCCACCAAATCTGATACAGTAAGTTGACTGCCCAAGCAGGATTTCCTAAGTAATTCACCTAGGATTTTAGTCTGTAGTCTGTCCTTTCCAATACGACCGACGAACGCCCCTTGTCCGCAGGCACGATAACGAGGTCGTTGTCGGCCCTGAGTTCCTTAAGTGCATCGCGCTCGACCTTGGAAAGCACGTCGCGCGGCCTATGAGCCATGAGGAGGGAGGACACTTGGTGTCGAATAAGGTTCTTCGTTTCGTCTGCCGCCCCCGTCTGGCTGAGGATTGATTCCACTGCTGCGATCATGTTGGCAGGTATGGCATCGGCAGTGTTGAATGAGGCCTCATGCCGTAAAACCTGCATTTGTTCCTCCGTCAGCTCCTTTGACGACAGGTTGTGCACCAGTTTGTCGTCCTCGGATCACATTGGAGCAGGCAGCTTACGAAATTTGCTCTCTAGGGCTGCTTCGCGCGTTCGTTCGGCCATTCTCTGCTGAAGCAGTTTTATGCCGTCCTCGCCCATGAACTCGTAGCACCTTGCTTTCTCTCGGCCAATCCTCTGACGGTATTTGCGAATCCGTGAGTGACAGTCTTGAGGGAGCACTCGGATCATTCGTCGGCCGTGCTGAAGTACTGCGCGTCTCGCCAGCTCTGTGTTGACCGGAGGTTTGTATGAAACGCACTTCGGCAGCACATTGCTGTCAAGACACCTGTGCAGAAATCGAATCTGCGCATATGTTGACGACCCTCGAAGGGCAAAGGAAGCTAACTTTGATTGTAAGCTAGCCGCTCTCTGTGATAGTGACGCAGATTAATCTGCCAGACGATTGGTGTACTGGCCGACAGTGAGATCGCTAACGACAACCCAGACACGCCTAGAAGACGTTATGGCGTAGCAGCCGGTACAGCATGGCGTATACGTAGATGGCGGAGTCAAACAGAAGTTAACCATCCGAACGCTTGTGTATCGTACATCCACGATCTAAATGTCAAGAGAATGTGTGGGTGAGAGTTGATTTCCCGGTTAAACTTGATTGACCGCAGTTTTGAGATAATGCAAACCCACGTAAATCATACATTCGGGAAACACTAGCGGGCTGGATAAGACGAGAAAGTGTTCAGTAGGCCGATATTTTTCCATTGGAGGAAAACCAGACAAGCAGCCGACGATGACCAGTTTTCAGTCTAGTTGAGGAGATGATGACTGATCGGCGAGGATGCTGTGGTGAAGGGGATTGCTGCACCGCGTAGGATGGATGGTTTGGGCGTGGGGGACCTAAAGTAGGGAAAGGTTGTAGTGGTCACATTTCTTCAATCTAAACTTGGGGGAAGCAGGAGGAGGAGGAGGAGGAAGGGGAGTGGGATGAGGACTACGTTATGTGATCTCTGCAATGGGATGGTGGGTAGAAGTATCATTGGAAGAGCGAAGAACACCTAGCCGCCATGACATCTCAAGCGGAATGTCATTATTCTACTGGGGCTTAATTTAAACGCAAACCTATGATGAGGGCAAAGCCCTTTCCTTAGCATTTGAACCACTGAGGTGTGGCTGAATGCAGCATAGAGTTTCTAATATTTGATAATTTGTAAGAACGCGAACGAACTCGCAAGATGTACAGGAATTAGTAAATCGTCCAAAATCTTTCATTTGTTAGGTTAGCATCCACCTTCCTGTGTGTGAGTGGACCTCTTATCGTGATGAGCATTCCTTGGAATTTTTCGCAGTCTCAACCTGCTAACCCTCCTCCCCCCCGTCCTTGCGTGCGCATTGAAAATACGCAGTTGGTGTCTCGCTTCTTCTGCAAAAGAGTGTTTTTAATCGCACTTCAGGGGAAAACAACAAGCAGGTTTCTGGTGACGCAATGCCTCTGCAGCTGACCCTGCGTCAGATGCGTTTTAGCGACACAGGTAGTTTTGCCTCGAGTCCAGTGGGCGTTATTAGCAACACGTACCTATAACAAATGCCGACATTCTCGGCGTGGCGGCACGCCCGAGTGCGGGTCACATCGAGCAGTCCCCGCTCAGTGTGCGTTGTGTACCTGGGGGCGTAGCGGTGCGACTTGGGGGAGCGGGGGTGTATTTCGCCGCGTCAGCTAACAACCTCCTCCCCCTTCCGCCTCCGCTGTTTTAGACACTGTCATGACACGGGACTCAGGTGGAGAGGAGGAGGAGGAGGAGGAGGAGGAGGAGGAGGAGGGGGGAGTGTGGTAGATGCTGTGCAAATCTACTGTCCCTTCAAAATAACTCACACGCAAGTAGCTGCCCCTGCACCAGACTGCACACGGTGGACGTCATCGGCAACCAATATCGAACTGCACACCATTTCCCGAAGACCTAGTAGACTCTAATTCCCTGTGCGTCATGTGTGGGCGTTTTGTTGCTCACATCTGCCTACTATCAGGGGAAAACAGGGGATTTATGTTGACCTATCAGGATGGTAAAGGGGCATATAAAAGCAGAGGGGTAGAACAAGTATTCTCATTCTTCCAGATGAACATGTATAGTGCATCTCTTGCCTGCCTGATCCTATCTCTGTCAATTCTCGTCTTCACTGACAAAGTGTATGTCTCGTCTTCACTATTCCTGCCTCATCTACTACTTATATACATTCATAGTAGTGGTTGAATTGTGTAAGGCTAGACTGGTGTAATAAATTCATGCAGATATATATTGCATTTTTTCGAGAAATTGAACACAAATTAACGTAGCAGATGTTGACAAATATGAAATAAAAGCTGTGGACTATGTAGTCCATGATAATTCTGTTGCTCTGGTTTGCAGGCGAGCAGTGGGAATATGTGACTGGGACCAGCGGACGTACACTACGCTCGAGGGTAAGGCCGAATTCATGACTGTGCGCAGTGGGAGGTACTCGGTAAGCTGCCATTTCTGTCATTCCAACAACCCTAACTGTGCCATTTTTGTCGCCGTTTTTGTTCACTTGCAGCATTTAACTTTACCATTTCTATCTTCTTGACAGACCGGATACATTGGCGAAGTTCCGTTTGTCTCCAAGCGACTCAGCCAGACCACTTGTTACCTCGGTGACGTGGCATTTAGATGTGTGTACGCTAACAGTAAGTCGCATGAAAATGACTGCTAGTGTTAGTGCAGGAAAATATTGTTAGGCAACGGTTACAAAAGGAAGAAAAACCGCGATATTTATAAATTTTCCTTCTAACCCCTAGATGGCAGCATTTTGGGAACGAATATAGAGGTGCCCAACATCACCAATGTGGACAGGATATACATTGCCAGCACCTATCCTGTCACAGTCCATAGGATCGAAAAGCACGTTCGGGACAAGTCCTCCAAAGGTTTGTCCGTCAGTGCCTCATTTCTTCGTTCAAGTCGTAGTTATCAGTAGCATTCTTATTCAAATTCCTGCTCTTCATACATAAGTCTCCCTCTAGTGTCCTGTCCTCTTCACTGAGACTGATGTATTTGAACTACCGACATTTTAGATCGTTTTATCGTCGAAGAAAATATGCACCTGACCAAATGCCCCGAATATATGCAAACGAAGCTGGTTTGGAAATTCCCCGGAAGTGTGGCTGACAGGACAGATGTAAGTGATTGTCTGTCTACCACAACAATACCCGTTCCCTGAGACAGTCCGCTTGCCAAAATGAACTAAGTAGTCGTTTCTTTTCTTATCAGTTTGAATGTTTTCGAGACGGCAGTAGACTATGCAGAGGAACCACGACAACAATGGAGGCTGGCAAATGTGGTGAGTTGAGGGGAATTCACTACGCAGTGCGCATACCTAACCTCCGTCTTCTCTGATTTTTGAGTGGCATCTGCTTTAACCCATATACCGATGTGTTCAATTGTCAGCGCGTGTTGCCCTATTCGACTAACATATGTCTTATTTGTGTATCTGCAGATGTGACCGTTGATGGCGGCAATCTTATTCATACTCGGACCGTGAATGGAACCAAAAATGTCCTCGAATTTTTCTACTGCCACCTCAGTCCGTCAACGCCGCAGCATGCACTGACCTACAACATAGATTGGCGAGGTGAGTATTTGCCAGAATCGTTTCATCAACTGACGAGGCCATGGTATATGATCGGGGTATGATTGCCTCCCACAACTATCTACTATATTTATCTAAGTAGGCGTTGTTCGGCACACTTTTTGATCGGGAGCCAGTCATGCTATAGCCCGACAGGATGACACTAGAAATTCATGTATGAATTTGCTGACCTGCCCACCATAATCAAAGTTTTGATGTTTCAGCCCCTCCCGTGTCGTTCTTCGGTGCTGAAAATTACACATGTTTTATTTGAAAAAGAAATCCGTCACACGACTGAAGTACTTACTGGTTTATACCTTGTATTCTTTCAATTTCAGCTTCGAAGCCGATTCCGCCTGAGGGAATACCGACAGACGCTCCAGGTAATTTACAACACTGTGACATGAGGATTGTGAAATTGTTCGGGAAGTATAGACATTTTTCCGATTCCGACATCTGTCCTGCACGTTGTACGTAACTGTGCCAAATATCAGATCGCGTCCATTTCTAACAAACCATTGATGATCCAGATGGTTGGCGAAAGCCCACACACTTTACGGGGGGAGGGGGGAGAGCGTAATCGGCGAACTAAAACCCCTCAAAAGCGTTTTATTAATTTCATGGCATTGTTCTTTTTTCCACTCAATTCCCACAGTCACTGAACGACGACATGCAACGCACACAACGTCCGCTGCCAAACACCTGACAGGTAATGCTACATTTCTGCGTGTTGGGAAAAATCATTTAGTGGAAATTAATCGGTTTCCATTTCTCTCTTTCCGTCTCTGCTAACCTGTCGGAGTTATTATTGCCAATGCCCCGGTCTAAATTTTCCATAGGGCTTATGATTCCATTTAACACTTATTTCTGCCCTGTATCAACGTAATTTTTCGTGAGCTTTTACATCCTTGTACTTTTCAGCGTCCAGTCTGGGAGCCTTGGTTGTGCTATCCACAGTTCTAGCGAGACAACGCTGAGAATCAAGAACTGCTTATTTCAAAGATTAGCATTGCAGTGCTTAATTAAAAAAAAAAGAAGATTCTACTTTCTTTTCCTCTTCCTCTCATTTCAAACCTCTTACCATGTAGTCACACCCAGCAAATATATTTTTTTGTTATGAGAAGCCCTCTTAACTTGTTCCGGAGTGAAACCTGGAGGCTCTACAAGACTGTAGTGTAGGCTACGAGGTAACAGCTTGTGGTGGGGGGGGGGGGAATGAATGTATTGGAATCTGAACTGTCGCCATGGGGAACCGACGCAACAGTTCGCAATGGTCGTGAACACAAAGATCCCCAAATCTGAAGTCAGAGAAGACGGACTGGTGAAGAAGCAGACATGATCGCTGAGACAAGAGATTTATCCGACCGACGTTTCGGACTCCTGCTCGAGTCCATCATCAGAGACAGTAGCAGACACAGGATTGGGTTAGACAGGCTTTACTGTTGTATAAAGGCGCTCGGTAGTCACAGCAAGTTGTCGCCGCAAGTTGTCTCTTCAAACGTGTTGTGCGCGTCAGTGTGTCCGCCGTTGGGGTTCTTTGGAGTCGTTGGTTTGTCCAAGTTGTGGCCGCCTGTAGCCAATCGGCGAGGCAGCGTGGTTGATTGACTTCCAGCTCTTGCAAGGCCAGTGGCAAACCTCGTGCGGTCCTCGCAGCGAATCAGAAGAGGGCCTGGGGCGAGCAGAAGGGCAGCGGGACAAGGCAGCGGCGATCAAGTGAGCAGACTGCCACGGGGCCACCTGCCGCCTTAAAGAACCATACATTAACTGCTTGAGTTACTTTCTAGAAATTACAGTTTTTAATCTCGGAGGTCTTCAGTCGTAACGATATTTCTATCGAGCTCACGCTAAGGAAAATTTTCGCAATGTATCAATTGGACTGCCATGTAACTTCCATGCGACCGCCTCTAAACGGTTAAAGTCCAAAACGGTGTTCGTGGAAAGCGGAAATTACCAAGGCTTAGCGGCGTATGCTTCAAAAATCAGAGCGGATTGAAGGGGCTGTGGACTACCCGCCTGCGACCCAGCACCACAATGCGAAAGATCCGACAAATCCTCACTGCCAGGTCTTGCTCTCCTTCCCGTCTACTCAGCCTTTTCAGTGAAACTCTCAGCACCTGCACTGACTGCACGTCTCTATACGACAGTCCTTGAGGACCCAAGGTTGAATCAGTTAAACATCATTTTCACTTACCCTGGAGTAGACATTGTTGTAATCAGGAAGCCTGTGGTTTTAGGACACTTAAGTTAAATTTCTAATGATGAACTGGAATGTCTTAGGTTTCAGTGTCACCCCAGCCGAAGCTCCGGCTTAGCGGGAAACCAACCCATGCAAGCCGAATGTATATTCCAGTTAGAAATGTCGGTGAAACCTACACTAATGGGACATCGCCTTCACGCCTCTACACGACAGCTTGAACGGCTCCATGAGAATTCTGCGAAACACCACGAAACGATCTTATCCGAAGAGGCACTTTAATATTTCCTGGTCCACCCGGTATCCAGTAGGCCTAAAGTCGGGTGGAATGAGGCCTAATTAGCAATCAGCTTCTTACGTTTAACGGCTGTTTTTCGTAATGTTGAGTACATGTAGAGACTGAGGAAGCCATCTAATCGACACTTTTTTCCCTGCGAACGATTTACAGAAGTGTGGTTGCTGAAGATTAAAAAATTCCAAAACATGGGAATATGATCTCGTCGGGGTCATTAAACTCGCGCTTAATTCTCGCTATTGAGGATCTTTCAGGGTAGGTGATGATGGTCATTTAGTCATGATCACTATATCAAAGTGAAAATTCCAGGACCGGATGGACCATCTAGTAGGCTAAGTGATTATAACATGTTCTGGAAATGAATGCACTTGCTGGATTCGCGTTTGCTGGTGTGACAATTTACACCTTGTAACGTCACCAATCCTAATTTATCTCCATCTGAGCTCACACAACAGTTCGACTGTCGATTTCTACGATGTCCTCCGTATGCTCCACATGAGAACAAGAGCGGGAACCATAGTTTGTGACGCATCTACCGCACTCTCTTCTCACTCCCCTCCTCCTGGGTCCCGTATCATTGTCAAGTCACGGCAAAAACCGACACCTAGACGCGGTGAAACAATTGTACAGTCAAGAACAGTTCAAGGAACCTTTCTCTGAACAGGTAGACCGGACACAATACAAATTGTTAGCAGTGTGTGTCCGGAGAAGCCGAGCAGTTTTATTGTGCTGTAAATTTCTTTTTGGCTCTACCCAGAACTGACAATTATGCTTAAACCCAACTCTCCACTTATCGACCAGGATTGGTAATCAGAACCTAGTTCTAGATCCCGTCATGTTGCCTTCTCGCTCCTCAAAGTGTCACGCGGTAGATGAGTTGGACAAACAGAGAGGTCCGGATTGGCGTCCAACAGGCATTAACGGGAATGCGCAACCATAAGAAATGCCAACACTGGGGATGTGACTGCAGGCCCATTTGCAAGCTCATTTCGCGCCGGTTCGAATCCAAACCGTCCCCTCTATTCATGTTGCGTAAAACCCTGGCCAGTGCGCTTTATAGTCAAGGGGAGGTAGAGGTACGTCTGGAGGCGGTTTTTCGCCGCCCCAGAAAACTGCGCCCTCTCCAACCTCCGGTCTTCATGACTCTGTCACCACACTGGGTCCTAGTGGAGGACGGTGAGATGTAAAAGGAGAGAGAGCGAGGGATGCTGCGCAAGTCTACCATCAGTATGAACTAATTCACTTGCAAGCCATCGTCCCTGATCTCACACGGCTGTAGAGCACACGGTAGACATAGTCGAAATCGAGGTGCAAACTACCGTGATGACATGGCGGTTACGTCCTTATGACTCCATTACCCCTATTTCCGATTGTCAATGTTTGTTGGTTCAAGTGAGAATCCGAAGACGCAGGCTAGTAAAATTATCGTTCTGGTCCCCCGTATTTTCTTCCCTCTCCTTCTCCTCCTCCTCCTCCTCCTCCTCCTCCTCCTCCAATTACTCCTCCGTTTCTTCTTCTTCTTCTTCGGTGATGTTATAATGAGATGGATTCCTACTGCCTTATAAATCACTTCACTGCTACCCAAATAATCATGACATGCGTTGATCTGTGACGGAGAGCCTTGATTTGCAGCACGGAAAACGGCCAAATGAAGAGGCATTTCGAATCTTCTTCAAACTTGTAGTCGCGCCACAAGATCGCCTTCTTAATATGGCATTTGGGACACTATCGCCTGGATGGAGACATAGGCACCTCAATCTACAACCTCGTATACGATGAGTTGGGAATCCGGCTGTACGGCACACACGTACACGACCTCCATAGTCTTGTCAGTTGCCTTTCCTTTAGATCACGGTGGGCGGTGACCTGATCTGTAGCCAGGATGCACTGAAAGACCGCCTCCCTGATATACAACTCCGTATCCCAATTACCCTTGCTGAACGAAAGTGCTGGGGCACCAGTCGACGTTGTCGCGTGCGACAGTCGGTGTGGGGAGGATATCGATTTTTCACTCTCCTCTTATTGAACGAACGCACACAGGTCCGCCGAGTTCATTTTGTTTCCTTGAGGGGGTAAGACGCATAAAAAGGCAAATTAATCCTATTTCTACTGATAACTGTCAATTGCGTCAGTAAGTCACCTTGATAGAAAGTATTGAAATTCACAAACTTGATCAATACGGACAAAGATTCGGCAAATAGACTCTCTAATTCTCTCAAATACCAGATGATCCCGCATTCAATTAAAATCTCGTGATTTTAAAGAGCCACTATTCGACGCATTGCACATGTAGGTTTCACTGCTTGGCGACAACGAATATACTTCCGACAATTCTGCCTTCAGTTCTGATCTCATCGATTCTTTTTCTCCTTACCCTGGTATATTTTATGTGAGCTTCAACAATTATTTGCAGTTTTGCTATGATACCCACGTGTACATTGACGAAGTAAAATTCGGCAAATGCACATATCGATTATTCCCATCGGGAGAGTGCAGTAATAAAATTAACTCAAGGTAAACCCGTCGCCTCAACTCTACTATTGTGAGTATATATTCAACTGCCAGCAAAAGAAAAGTGTTCTCAAGACGAACCTGCATATGTCCGCCGAGTTCATTTATCTACTTGAAGGTGTAAGACGTATAAAAGGCCAATTGGTCCTATTTGTGGCTGGTAAGTGTCGACTGCGTCAGTAAGTCACTTTGATACAAAACTTTAAAGTCTAAAAACTTGAGCAATAGGAACAATGTTTCGGCAAATACCAAATGCTTGCACAATTAAGTAAAGTCACGCGAATTTAGAGAGCAATTATTTGAGAAACTTATTTCCAATAATGCTGCCCACAGTTGCGATCTCATCGATTCCACTTCTACTAAACCCGGCGTACTCGACGTGGACTTCGACAATTATTAGCAGTTTGCTGCTATTAAATCAAGATTCTAACCGACAATAACAGCAAACCAACGGGTCCGGAAGATGACGAGGATGACTGGGCAACCATGCTAACCATGCTAACGGGAGCGCATGCGCATCTACCGACAGGGAACAGGTGCCAGAGAATTGACAGTGCACACAGGGTTGAGAGGATCATGGTTTGCTGATCGAAGGTCATTTCCGCATCACACCACCTCGCTGGCGGAGTTGGTTACGGCATCTAATTTGCCAAAACTCCCTTCCCACCCACACATCCCTTAACCCCCATTTTTCACTTCAAGTCAAACAACAGCTCCATAGCAATCATCAGGCTCCATTGTGTGCCTTAAACCTGCTCTCCCATTCAGTCTCACGTGGTCAATTTCACTCTACACACCACGCCACCTCGCTGGTAGAAGTGTTTTTAAAAGCCCCTTCCTGACACAAAGAGGCGCTGCACGAAGTGTCGGGAATTTGGTGGAGGTGTTTTTGTGCCAATTTCATCTGCCCCCTTGCCTGTATTCCGCACGAACAACTACGAAGTAATTCTAGTAGCCGAAATGAAGACAGCTCCTGCCATTGGGTATTTCTTCGTTTGGGTGGTTAAAAGTTCTGTTTTGGGACGTGTGGACAGTGAGCCTAGTCACATCGTTTTCGTACACATGACAGTTAGTCAGCTGCGACCCTCAACCTGCCTTTCCACACCTCCCACATACATCACAATTTCCTCATGTGCTACCGGTCGTCCGGTTGACATTGTTCCTATCTCCTTACAGGCAGCCAAAGTGAGTGGACATACTCCGACATTCTAAAGTGTTCGTTCCGTTTTGGACAACCCGAGAGGATGCCGTACCGATAGCAGGACATCATCGGTTGCCCGCGAACTGACCTGCCAGAGAGTGGGCGCTGCGGTTTCGAATGAGTTCCGCACATCCAGACAGCAATTTCCGAAAATAACGGACTTTGAATAAACCGCCGACAGTAAGGTTACGTTCAGTCACGAAGGCATGGAAGTCTCAGCCCATAGTAGCGGCAGATAAGCGATGTTTACCGTCACAGTGAATTTCAGCGGACAGTGGTAGGGTCCTACACCCTACCGTTGCCGTCGCACTTTCTGTCCCGAGTCTTAGGCAGTCGCCGTACCCATAATGATTGTTGGAGTCTACATAGATTTTACCAGGTTTAGGAAATAGGGACGATTTCAACCCGACGACCGGTAGCACATGAGGAAATTGTGATGTATGTGGGAGGTGTGGAAAGGCAGGTTGAGGGCAACAGCTGACTAACTGTCATGTGCACGAAAACGATGTAACTAGGCTCACTGTCCACACGTCCTTAAGCATAAATTTCAACCACCTAAAGGAAGAAGTACTCAATTGCAGGAGCTGTTTTCATTTGGACTACTAGAATTACTTTGTATTTGTTATTGCGGAACACAGGCAAGGGCGGCAGATGGAATTGGCACAAAAGCACCTCCACCAAATTCCCGACACTTCGTGCAGCGCCTCTTTGTGTCAGGGAAAGGATTTTAAAAACACTTCTACCAGCGAGGTGGCGTGGTGTGTAGAGTGAAAATGAGCACGTGAGACAGAATGGGAGAGCAGGTTTAAGGCACACAATGGAGCCTGACGATTGCTATGGAGCTGTTGTTTGACTTGAAGTGAAAAATGGGGGTTAAGGGATGTGTGGGTGGGAAGGGAGTTTTGGCAAAGTAGATGCCGAAAACAACATCACCAGCGAGGTGGTGAGATACGGAAATGACCTTCGGTCATCAAACCATGATCATCTTAGTCCTGCGTGCACTGTCAATTCCCCGACGGCTGGTTCCCTGTCGGTAGATGCGCTTGCGCTTCCGCTGTGTATACAGATGTTTAGCATGGTTGCCCAGTCATCCTCGTCATCTTTCGGACCCATTGTAGTGTTGTTGTTGTCGGTTGGAATCTTGGTTTAGTACCAGAAAACTGCCAATAATTTTTGAAGTCCACGTCGAGTACACCGGGTTTAGTAGAAGTGGAATCAATGAGATCGCAACTGTGGGCAGCATTATTGGAAATAAGTTTGTCAAATAATAGCTCTCTAAATTAGCGTGGCTTTACTTAATTGCGCAAGCATTTGGTGTTTGCCGAAACATTGTTCCTATTGCTCAAGTTTTTAGACTTTAAAGTTTTGTATCAAAGTGACTTACTGACGCAGTCGACACTTACCAGCCACAAATAGGACCAATTGGCCTTTTATACGTCTTACACCTTCAAGTAGATAAATGAACTCGGCGGACATATGCAGGTTCGTCTTGAGAACACTTTTCTTTTGCTGGCAGTTGAATATATACTCACAATAGTAGAGTTGAGGCGACGGGTTTACCTTGAGTTAATTTTATTACTGCACTCTCCCGATGGGAATAATCGATATGTGCATTTGCCGAATTTTACTTCGTCAATGTACACGTGGGTATCATAGCAAAACTGCAAATAATTGTTGAAGCTCACATAAAATATACCAGGGTAAGGAGAAAAAGAATCGATGAGATCAGAACTGAAGGCAGAATTGTCGGAAGTAAATTCGCTGTCGACAACCAGTGAAACCTACATGTGCAATGCGTCGAATAGTGGCTCTTTAAAATCACGAGATTTTAATTGAATGCGGGATCATCTGGTATTTGAGAGAATTAGAGAGTCTGCTTGCTGAAACTTTGTCCGTATTGATCAAGTTTGTGAATTTCAATACTTTCTATCTAGGTGACATACTGACGCAATTGACAGTTATCAGTAGAAATAGGATTAGTTTGCCTTTTTATGCGTCTTACCCCCTCAAGGAAACAAAATGAACTCGGCGGACCTGCGTGTGTTCGTTCAATAAGAGGAGAGTGAAAAATCGATATCCTCCCCACACCGACTGTCGCACGCGACAACGTCGACTGGTGCCCCAGCACTTTCGTTCAGCAAGGGTAATTGGGATACGGAGTTGTATATCAGGGAGGCGGTCTTTCAGTGCATCCTGGCTACAGATCAGGTCACCGCCCACCGTGATCTAAAGGAAAGGCAACTGACAAGACTATGGAGGTCGTGTACGTGTGTGCCGTACAGCCGGATTCCCAACTCATCGTATACGAGGTTGTAGATTGAGGTGCCTATGTCTCCATCCAGGCGATAGTGTCCCAAATGCCATATTAAGAAGGCGATCTTGTGGCGCGACTACAAGTTTGAAGAAGATTCGAAATGCCTCTTCATTTGACCGTTTTCCTTGCTACAAATTATAGCACTCCGTCATAGATCCGCGCATGTCATGATTATTTGGGTAGCAGTGAGGTGATTTATAACGCAGTAGGAATCCATATAATTCTGTCATCACTTCATCTCCTTTAGCAAAAAGTGGCAGAGGCGGAGGAAATGAAGATAGTGAGAGAGCGAAAATACAGGTTCGGGCTCTCACTCAGTGACAGCCGCAAATAAGAGTAAAGGATGTATAAGAACATAACCGCCATGTCATCACGGTAGTTTTCACGTCAATTTCTAATAAGTCCACCGTGGTCTCCATGGCAGGGCGAGAGCAGGGATGTGAATTGCGATTGAATTAATCTCTAATGAGAGTGGACTTGCGCAGCAAATGTCTCATCACCTCCTCGTATTCCTCCTCCACTGGGACTCGGTGTGGTGACAGAGTCAAGACGACCGGAGGTGGGAAAGTCCGCAGGTATCTGGCACAGCAAAATCAAACCCTAGACGTGCCTCTACATCTTCCTGTCCACAACGCGCACTGACAAGCGTTCTACGCGACAAGAAGAGAGGGGGCGGTTTGGATCTCTACTGGCGCGACATGAGCTTGCAAATGGACCTACAGCGCTGAGATTTGTTATAGGTGCGCATTCCCGTTAATGCCTGTCGGAGGCCAATCTATACCCCTTGTTTGTCCAACTCATCTACTGTGTGCCACTTTGATGTGCGAGAATGAAACATGACGGGATCTAGAACTAAGTTTCTTGGCAGTTCGACTGTTTCTCGGCGACTCGGTAGAAATATCATCACGATCGAAGACGTTTTAGAGCGGAAACTGCACCTTCAAGAACATTACTCTAGCAGTGATCTTCATGGTTTTTATATTTTACACTGAAGCAGACTACAGTCTCTTTTAGTCTGCATAAATAGAGGCAGCAGGTAGCCCCGTGGCAGTCTGCTCACTTGATCGCCGCTGCCCTGTCGCGCTGCCCTTCTGCTCGCCCCACGTCCTCTGCCGGTTCGCTGCGGGGACCGCACGAGGCTTGTTACTGGCCTTGCGAGAACTCGAAGTCAATCAGCCACGCTCCCTCGCTGATTGGCTACAGGCGGCCACAACTTGGAAAAAGCAAAGACGCCAAAGAACCCCAACGGCGGACACACTGACGCGCACAACACGTTTGAAGAGACAACTTGCGACGACAACTTGCTGTGACTACCGAGCGCCTTTTTACAACAGTAAAGCCTGTCTAACCCAACCCCCTGTCTGCCATTGTCACTGATGATGGACTCGAGCAGGAGTCCGAAACGTCGGTCGGATAAATCTCTTGTCTCAGCGATCATGTCTGCTTCTTCACCAGTCCGTCTTCTCTGACTTCAGATTTGGGGATCTTTGTGTTCACGACCATTGCGAACTGCTGCGTCGGTTCCCCATGGCGACAGTTCAGATTCCAATACATTCACTTCCCCCCCCCAGCACAGGCTGTTACCTCGTAGCCTACACTACAGTCTTGTAGAGCCTCCAGGTTTCACTCCGGAACAAGTTAAGAGGGCTTCTCATAACAAAAAAATATATTTGCTGGGTGTGACTACATGGTAAGAGGTTTGAAATGAGAGGAAGAGGAAAAGAAAGTAGAATCTTCTTTTTTTAATTAAGCGCTGCAGTGTTAATCTTCGAATGAGGCAGTTTTTGATTCTCAGCGTTGTCTCGCTAGAACTGTGGATAGCACAACCAAGGCTCCCAGACTGTGCGCTGAAAAGGAGAAAAGTGTAAATGCTCACTTGAAATTCACGTTGACACAGAGCAGAAATAAGCGTTCAAGGGAATCATAAGCCCTATGGAAAATTTAGACGGGGGCATTGGCAATAATAACTCCGACAGGTTAGCAAAGATGGAATGAGAGAAGTGTTGGGCGATTAATTACCCATGAATGATTTTTCCCAACACGCTGAAATGTAGCATTACCTGTCAGGTGTTTGGCAGCGGACGTTGTCTTCATTGCATGTCGTCGTTCAGTGACTGTGGGAATTGAATGGAAAAAAGAACAATGCGATGAAAATAAGGAAACGCTTTTGAGAGGTTTGAGTTCACCGATTACGCTCTCCTCCCTCCCCCCGTAAAGTGTGTGGGCTTTCGCTAACCATCTGGATCATCAATGGTTCGTTAGAAATGGACGCGATCTGATATTTGGCACAGTTACGTACAACGTGCAGGACAGATGTCAGAATCGGAAAAATGTCTATACTTCCCGAACAATTTCACAATCCTCATGTCAAAGTGTTGTAAATTACCTGGAGCGTCTGTCGGTATTCCCCCGGGCGGAATCGGCTTCGAAGCTGAAATTGAAAGATTACAAGGTATAAACCAGTAAGTACTTCAGTCGTGTGACGGATTTCTTTTTCAAATAAAACATGTGTAATTTTCAGCACCGAAGAACGACACGGACGGGCTGAAACATCAAAACTTTGATTATGGTGTCAGGTCTGCAAATTCATACATGAATTTCTAGTGTCATCCTGTCGTGCTATAGCATGACTGGCTCCCGATCAAAAAGTGTGCCGAACAACGCCTACTTAGATGAATAAAGTAGATAGTTTCGCGAAGCAAACCTATTCCAACCATTTACTCTGCCCTCGCCAGTCGATGAAACAATTCTGGCAAATACTCACCTCGCCAATCTATGTTGTAGGTCAGTGCATGATGTGGCGTTGACGGACTGAGGTGGCAGTAGAAAAATTCGAGGACATTTTTGGTTCCATTCACGGTCCGAGTATGAATAAGATTGCCGCCATCAACGGTCACATCTGCAGATACACAAATAAGACATGTGTTAGTCGAATAGGGCAACACGCGCTGACAATTGAACACATCGGTATATGGGTTAAAGCAAATGTCACTCAAAAATCAGAGAAGACGGAGGTTAGATATGCGCACTGCGTAGTGAATTCCCCTCAACTCACCACATTTGCCAGCCTCCATTGTTGTCGTGGTTCCTCTGCATAGTCTACTGCCGTCTCGAAAGCATTCAAACTGGCGGGAAAGAAACGAATACTTAGTTAATTATGGCAACCTGACTGTCTCAGGGAACGGGTATTGTTGTGGTAGACAGACAATTACTTACATCTGTCCTGTCAGCCACACTTCCGGGGAATTTCCAAACCAGCTTCGTTTGCATATATTCGGGGCATTTGGTCAGGTGCATATTTTCTTCGACGATAAAACGATCTAAAATGTCGGTAGTTCAGTCTCAGTGAGGAGGACGGGACATTGGAGGGAGACTTATGTATGAAGAGCAGGAATTCAAATAAGAATGCTACTGATAACTTAGACTTGAACGAAGAAATGAGGCACTGGTGGACGAACCTTTGGAGGACTTGTCCCGAACGTGCTTTTCGATCCTATGGACTGTGACAGGATAGGTGCTGGCAATGTATATCCTGTCCACATTGGTGATGTTGGGCACCACTATATGCGTTCCCAAAATGCTGCCATCTAGGGGTTAGAAGGAAAATTTATAAATATCGCGGTTTATCTTCCTTTTTTAACTGTTGCCTAACAATATTTTCCTGCACTAACACTAGCAGTCATTTTCATGCGACTTACTGTTAGCGTACACACATCTAAATGCCACGTCACCGAGGTAACAAGTGGTCTGGCTGAGTCGCTTGGAGACAAACGGAACTTCGCCAATGTATCCGGTCTGTCAAGAAGATAAAAATGGTAAAGTTTAATGTTACAGGTCAACAAAAACACCGACAAAAATAGCACAATTAGGACTGTTGGTATGACAGAAATGGCAGCTTACCGAGTACCTCCCACTGCGCACAGTCATGAATTCGGCTTTACCCTCGAGCGTAGTGTACGTCCGCTGGTCCCAGTCACATATTCCCACTGCTCGCCTGCAAACCAGAGCAACATAATTATCATGGACTACATAGTCCACAGCTTTTATTTCATATTTGTCAACATCTGCTATGTTAATTTGTGTTCGATTTCTCGGAAAGAATGCAATATATATCTGCACCAATTTATTCCACTAGTCTAACCTTACACAATTCAACCACTACTATAAATGTATATAAGTAGTCGATGAGGCAGGAATAACGAAGACGAGACATACACTTTGTCAGTGAAGACGAGGATTGACAGAGATAGGATCAGACAGGCAAGAGATGCACTATACATGTTCATCTGGAGGAATGAGAATACTTGTTCTACCCCTCTGCTTTTATATGCCTCTTGACCATCCTGATAGGTCAACATCAATCCCCTGTTTTCCCCTGATACTAGGCAGATGTGAGCAACAAAACGCCCACACATGACGCACAGGGAATTAGAGTCTACTAGGTCTTCAAGCAATGCAGTGCAGTTCGATATTGGTTGCCGATGACGTCCACCGTGTGCAGTCTGGTGCAGGGGCAGCTACCTGCGTGTGAGTTATTTTGAAGGGACAGTAGATTTGCACAGCATCTACCGCACTCCACCCTCCTCCTCCTCCTCCTCCTCCTCCTCCTCCCCCTACCCCCCTCTCCACCTGGGTCCCGTGTCATGACAGAGCAAAGAAGAGTGGCAGGGGAGGGGGAGGAGGCGGATGTCTGACACGGCGAAATGCACTCCCGCTCCCTCAAGTCGCACCGCTACGCCCCCAGGTCCAAAACGCTCACTGAGCGCGACTTAACACAACAACGAGAAGATGGCGAGGACTGCTTGATGTGGGCATGTTGTGGGCCCGCACTCGAGCGTGACGTCACGTCGCCAACGTCGGCATTTTTTATAGGTACCGGCTGCTAATAACGCCCACTGGACTTGGGGCAAAACTACCTGTGTCGCTGAAACGCATCTGACGCAGGGTCAGCTGCAGAGGCATTGCGCCACCAGAAACCTGCTTGTTGTTTTCCCCTAGAGTGCGATTACAAACAATCTTTTGCAGAAGAAGCGAGACACCAACTGCGTATTTTCAATGCGCACGCAAGGACGGGGGGGAGGAGGGTTAGCAGGTTGAGACTGCGAAAAATTCCAAGGAATGCTCATCACGATAAGAGGTCCACTCACACACAGGAAGGCGGATGCTAACCTAACAAATGAAAGATTTTGGACGATTTACTAATTCCTGGACACCTTGCGAGTTCGTTCATGTTCTTACAAATTATCAAATATTACAAACTCTATGCTACATTCTGCCACACCTTAGTGGTTCAAATGCTAAGGAAAGGGCTTTGCCCTCATCATAGGTTTGTGTTTAAATTAAGCCCCAGTAGAATAGTGACATTCCGCTTGAGATGTCATGGCGGCTAGGTGTTCTTCGCTCTTCCAATGATACTTCTACCCACCATCGCATTGCAGAGATCACATAACGTAGTCCTCATCCCACTCCCCTTCCTCCTCCTCCTCCTCCTCCTCCTCCTCCTTCCCCCAAGTCTCGATTGAAGAATCTTTCCCCCCTACAATTTCTCCCGACTTTAGGCCCCCCACGCCCAAACCATCCATCATACGCGGTGCAGCAATTCCATTAACCACAGCATCCTCGCCGATCCTCAAGTCGCCTGAAAATGGGTAATCGTCGGCTGCTTGTCTGGTTTTCCTCCAATTGAAAAACATCGGCCTCCCGTCTTATGCAGCCCGCTAGTGTTTCCCGAATGTATGGTTCACGTGGTTTCGCATTCTTTCGAAACTGCGGCCCATCAAGTTTCGCCAGACAATCAAATTTCATCCAGACTTTCTCTTGATATTTACATCGTGGATGTACGATACACAACCGTTCGGATGATTAACTTCTGTTTGACTCCGCCATCTTCGTATACGCCATGCTGTGCCGACTGCTACGCCATAATCTGTTCTAGGCAGACATTTCAAGCATGCCTTGACTGTCGTTAGCGATCTCACTGTCGGCCAGTACGCCAATCGTCTGGCAGATTAATCTACGTCACTATCACAGAGAGCGGTTAGCTGACAATCAAAGCTGTCTTCCTATAAAAAATCCCTCGATGGTCATGATAATTAGTACTGCTCTGCAAAATTGACTGGTTTTCGTTTTAGTTTGTGAAGAACCCTCAGTGGCACAGCCGTGGTGTACATAAGACTGATACCACAGCCCTCCACTGAACACAAAATATCCAAACGCGGTTCGCCTCATGATAGTACGACCATCGATTTCGATGATGTCCACCGTGTGCCTCACAGCAGCAGCGGTGGGGGCAGGGACGGTGACTTGCCGGTAAACTTTCGCTGCATCTACTTAAGTTCGTCTCATAAACACATGATGGCAAGCAGGACTAATTCCCTAACGTCGTAAGTCGGAGCAGATTAACCCGCTGTAACCTGAGGTGTAACAGGCCTGACAAGTATCTGATCGATGCAAGCGAAGATGAGAGTTCCAGGAACTAGTTGACAAGAAGTAGAAGCAATCGCGGTTTTTGTTTGTGCCATGCTTCACGGACCCCAGTCTTTCTCACGACAGTTCGACCGTCGTTACTGACGTTGTCCACCGAGTGCTCCACAACGACGTAGGAGCAGGAACGGTGACCTGTGTGTTAATTTATAGTGGAAGTAATTTTGCACTGCATCTACCACACTCTCTCCTCTTACTCCTCACCTATACCCAGTGCCAAGGCGTCATTTCTGCGCATCGCTGCCGCGTGTTCGGTCATTCGCGTCCAGTTTTTCTGACATAGTTTCCTTGCCCGCAACTGCACCAGATGCGATAAACCACTCCAGACGTTTCTTGCCGTAGCAGCGGGTCTTTTGGTCTCATTACCGGACGCCTAATAGTGGCCTCCGGTCTGTGTGCAACTCCAATTCCAAGTTGTGCGTGAAGGCGGCCGAGAGTTTACGAAACGTTCTTGACATATGGAAGCGCAAGCCAAACTTTGCTGTCCGTGCGGTTAGGCCTTTCGTCCATTTTGTGTATGCACCGGTTGACAAAGTTGCGCGGGTATCCGTTGGCTTTGAAGACCCGTCAGAGATATTGTAGTTCGACAATCTTGTCTGCCGGTTCATTGTAGTGCGTTTGAACACGCCTATAAAGCGTCCTTACACAACTGTGTTTGTGGCTGATTGAGTGGTTGCTGTTGAAGTTTAGTACTTGCCTTGTATTTGTCGCTTTCCTGAACACTTTGGGCTTTAGTCCACCACAATCATTGCGACATACGAGGACATCCAGGAAGGCCAGCTGGTTGTTCTCTTCCTCCTCCATCGTAAATTGTATGTCCGGGAAGACCGCATTCAGATGCTTCTTGAATGTCAGCAGTTGATCCAGGTCGATAACGACGAAGCTATCATCTACATACCGGGCCCAGAACTTCGGCATGTGATGTCGGAATAGCAGCGACTCCAACTGTTGCAGGACCGCCTCGGCGATGAATCCCGAAGTCGGCGAACTCATTGGTGTACGTTTCACCTGTTCGTAGATTGTCCCGTCGAATGTGAAGTACGTCCTGACACAGTGGAATCGGTCGTTTATTGCGCACTCGCCATGCGTCGGTCGGTCGGTGTTTTGGCACACGAGTTCTCCAGTGCCAACTGTGTCACACTAATTTCGCGTGTCAGCGTCTTTACGGGGTTGGTTTCACATGGGACATAAAACTGGCGATCCTCCAGTAGGTTTCTGGTCTTCTGAAGGTAGTCTTTTCTGTCCAGTACGACGGTGGGACGCCCCTTGTCCGCGGGCACAATGACGATATCCTTGTTGGCCTTGAGTTCTCTTAGTGCCTCGCGTTTGAACATCGGAAGTATTTCGCGCGGCTTGTGAGTCATAAGGAGGGACGAAACTTGGTGCCGGATGAGGTTCTTCGTCTTTTCCGCCGCTTCCGTCTGATAAAGGACCGATTCCACTGCTGAAATTATGTTGACAGATTTGGCGTCAGCTGTGTTGAACGAAGCTTCGTGCCGTAAAATCTGTACTTGCTTCTTAGTCAGTGCCTTTGACGACAGGTTGTGTACCAGTGTGCCGCCTCTGGATGACGTTGGATAAGGCGGTTTGTGGAATTTGTTCCCCAGTGCTGCATCGCGTGTCGCTCTCTGCTCACGGGCTCGTTCAGTTTCCCTCTGCTGAAGCTTTAGCACCGCCTCAGCGATGAAGCCTGAAATCAGCGAGCTCATTGCTGTTCCCTTCACTTGCTTGTAGATTGTTGCGTCAAACGTGAATTACGTCCTGAGACAGAACTTTAGGAGCTGAAGGACTTGGGCATGTCCTAGACGATTCTCCGTTTCATTGTACTTGTTTCGTAGGCGTAGCTATACGGTCTCGATAGCCAGATCGTGGGGAATGGAAGTAAAGGGGGACGTGACATCAAAAGATACCATGACCTCATGTGCAAGATACTTGCTCCTTTAAGCTTCTGCAGGAATTGTGTTGACGAACAGACGGTGGTGTCCGAATCTGCGGTCAGAAATTTGAGGCGCCGAAACAGCCATTTTGCCATCGCCAGTTTTATGTCCCATGTGAAACTAACAGCAAATAAGCGGGTTTTTGATCAACAATGACAAAGAGAATGGAGGCTGACACGGCCTAAGACGTGCCGCCAACGTTTCGCTCCGATCCCACACATAGTGGGAATGTCATAAAGGTCACATTAAGAAAGTGCCATTGCAGCCTGACTCTTAACCCACCAGCCGGCCACTCCGCACAAACCCATAAAAGTGGACCGACCGCGAGGTTCAAGTTATCCCGTTACTTGGCAACCTTCCAAGTCACGGCTTTTAGCGTATCGTGATAACTTCAAGCGTGTCAGATTCTTTGTAGCGAGGAAAATGCGCTGAATCATCAACTTCACCCTCCCTTCCCATCCTCATGCCCCAGCCACTGTCCGAGCCGGTCAGTTGACTGTAGCGGGGAATGGGCACGGTGGCTGCCACGGTCGACTGACCATGTCTGCGTGCGCCACATGCACAACCTGGTCCCCAAAACAAAATTATGTGGATTTCACACAACGAAGGTTGAGCGGCATACATCTCACATACGTGAGAGTGCCGTGGAAAGAGGTGTTTCGGCTCGGCTCCCAACCCACCAGTCCGTCACTCCACACAAACACGCACACACACAGCTGGACGGACTGCGTGGACCGAGTTGGCGCGTCAGTCAGCAACCTTCCCATTCTACGGCGCTTGACGCGTCGGGATAATCTCAGGCTCGAGTCACCCATGCAACAGGAGCCGCACGAGAACCGAGCCGAGACGCTCCCTTTCCACTTGCTTGGGAGGTGACAGTTAGATTGTTGCGGTGTTGATGTGCGGTGAGATGAAGGGAAGGGGTGACGTGATGGTGTGGTGCAGCCGCCGGTCGTCCACCGCAGGTTTTCGTGGATGCGCATGTGGCCGAATAGGCACATGCGGTGCATGAATGTGCGAGCGCAGCGTGGACAACGGGGGCGGGTGCGGCGGATGTAGGTTGGTGCTCCAGATACTGGTTCGCCAGTCTCTGTGCGACAGATGCACGATTGTGGCGTCTTTGAAATCTTGCAAGACTGCTCCCTGACGCCACATCGCCTGGAAGGACGCAGTCAGAGGATCCATGAGTTTGGGGCCGCCTTGCTTGCAGACCTCAGCAGGGATCGCATCCGATCCGGATGCTTTCCCGCTGGAGAGCTTCTGCACGCCCCCTGACTGTTTCCTAGAGAGGGGGCGGGAGGTCGATGTCCACGTTGGTCTCCACATTGCGACAAACAGGCGATGGCAACGTCGGATATGGTGTAGGGGTGGTTGAGGACGTCTCGGAAGTGCTCGTCCCATCGTTGTAGAATTTGTCTCCTCAGTGAGGAGGGTACTGTCGTCGACGCTGAGAAGAGGAGCAGTGCATTTGTTTGGCGGATCGCGGAGAAGAAGTTCTTCCATTAGTTGCGGTCCACGTACCCTTGGATCTCCTCAGGCTTGCAAGCCGTCCAGGCGTCCTGCATCTCGCGTAGTCGCTGTTGAACGATGCGACGAAAACGGTAGAAAGCAGCTCTGTTGTCGGTAGAACATCTACTGTATATAGGTGAGATTATGTTAAGCGATAACTATGCACGATTGACCCTAGAATTCATTTTATTA